ACGAAAGATTAGTGAGGAACAAAGACAACACAAGTCTCTACTCTTACAGTCGTACTATGGATGGGGTTTTACTCATGATTTCGGCCCTCTAGGACGTCCTCAACTGATCCAGGGGAGAAATTCAGGCCTTCGCTGAACCATGATCTGAAGATGAGATCCTGACCTTGTGGGAAATTACAACCCTGCCCATGCTAGCGTGAAGAGGTCATGAACCTGAGGATCGAACGCTTGATTATGACAATGTCCTGCATGGTACACGTATGAGCACTCTTGTGGTGTCTGATGAGGTACAAGCAACGAGGGTAACTCCCGTCGGTACATAGCGATCTAGTGGGGTCAAAAGGTAACCATGACAGGTGGACATGTGTTGCTCTAACCACATTGGGTGTTATGCCTAAGAAAAAAAAAGGGGGGGGAAAGCCTTACACACACAAGGGGTGCGAAGTGCAGTTCCCGGGTGGAGATGAGCATCAGCCGCTTCTGGCACTGCATCTGGGTGAAAGTCAAGGAGAACAACCCGTAGCACACAACTGAGAACATGTCCAATCATCCTCTGCTTTGTGTATAAGTGGCAATTGCGTCTTTACGCAAGCGAGCGTGATAACTTGACTTAACTGCGACCCGTTATTCGGGGGTATCTCGGACACTGTATTGCCGGGGTCTGGGGTTGACAGCGAATCCTATGCGGTGCACGATCGTAATTCAACATCAAACTTCACCCCACGAACCGTTCTGAGGAGGGTACTTGTCGAGTACGACAGAGTGATGATCAAGAGGGTAGTATTGCTGGCAATACGTAGTCCTTGTTCGATAGAGACCTGCCAGGGGAAGGAGAAGTAATTCATTCGCGGCGAGCACGAGACTGAAGTTGTTCCTTTTTGAATTTCTAGCAAAACTCCCCCTTCTGAAAACTCGGTCTCAACTTGCGCACGGCTCCGATGTAACTCGTTGAAAGCTTCAGCCCGGCTAGCCCCTCCCCTGGCAAAGCCTCGACTTTCCGTGATGTCAATATCAAAGAGCAAAATATTGATGTCCGCTGTTGTGCAAAGCGGCTCTACCAAGGGACGAACCGTGGTCCGGTTCGCAGAATATCGTCAGGGTGAAAGAACGGTCAATACCACTACACTGCTTGGATTGGGCCAAACAAAACAGGGAGAAGATTAACTGGAAAAATCCAACCTTAGATTGAGTTTGACCTCTGCTGTGTTTTCATTTAAGATACATGGTCAAACTGGGTCTAACTAAAGTCTACAGAGCATGCGAGTGTCATTCACCTACCCTCTTTTGTTACATGGAGCCAGTCAAGATCGTTAATCATACCACTCTCCTTCTCAGCTCCCCCTGAGTTATCGCCCCGAAGGGGATAGGAAGAAGACGAGGGGTGTTGAGATACTAGTAGTTAAAGGCATCATCAGTCGAGACAAACATGAGGGTTGGGAGGCAGAAACATTGCTATCCTCACGGAGAATGTGAATGAACCCTATGCAACAAGCATCCTCTCAGAATTGCAAAACAAAAGTCGCTTCTAACTGCAGTTTCATATCAGCCACAGTTGTCGTCCAGCAAAGCCTTTGAGGTCTGTTTATAGCCTGATATTGGTGGTGAAGGCGATAGTCCAGCATGTCCGTGACCCTCATCACCCCAATAGTTTTGAGTCTGAAGCCAGTTTTCCTCTCGGGGTGCGGGACCACCCGGGCTATTTACAGTTCGTCCTATCCGCAGTCGGAACCTGGGAGTGTGGAAAGGAATCACGAAAGAAGAAGAGATCCTCGTGACGAAATGCGGGGTCGTTAAGGACAGGCATGAAAACTGGGAAGCCGAGGCTATTTTGAGATGGAACTTCAGAAAACGGTCTTGAGGGAGGATGCGGTCAGACGAATTGATGAAGAAAAGTACATTGGGCATGTGTTCAATTTCAATGATCAGAATGGCAAGCTGCACAGCACAGGCTCCTTGCTAGAGACCGCTGAACATGCCAGGGCAGGCTTAGGTGAGTGCAAAGAGCACGGGTTCCCCTCCCGAATTTTCAACTATCGAAGTCACCCTGCAATCTGCAGTCCCCTCAGCATTTCCGCTACTAAGAGATCAACATTCAGTAACCTATTATCTCGGCAAGATTCAGTCATCCGAGTTACTTGGAACTCTCAATCAGAATCAATCTGCCTTCAGTCATTGCCATTCGATTCAGAGGCCAGTATCAGTTAGATAGTAAGCTCATCAAAAAGACGCAAGGATCATTTTCAGCATCCATCTCCGCACATGAGTTTAATTAAGTCTTCTCCAGTTAACGAGTCAGTGTTGACTAGTCTCAACAGGATTGCACTCAAGGATGCCTTCCAGTACCGATACGTCAGTGCAGTCAGTTTTAGGCAGGGAGACTTGTCAGCCTTTGTGGTTCACACCGAGTTTGCACGAGGTACCATCCATGACCTGAAGGTCTACTTGAAGAAGGGGAACAAACCCATAAGCACTTCGACTCAGTCTGGATGTCGGCAGCCAAGTACCTTGAGAAGAAAGAGAGAGAGTTTGACGAGAATGGCACCAAGCTGATTCGTAGCTTTCGACCCGAGATCTATACTGACTATCCCAGACTTCCAGTTCCCTTCCTCCTCACAGACGGCTCCTGCTGGGGTGACTTGGTGGATCTAGCCAAAAGGTACATTTCTCCTGCAGAGATTGACTATGAGGCAGTCACCGAACCATCTGAGTTCCGACATCTTAGGCGTGGGATTTTCTCCCAGCCATACCTTCCTACTCTATGGAAGGAGTTTTGTGCTATGGTCAACTTTCGTGTCATAGGCCTCGGATGGAAATGTTCAGAGCTTGAAGGCTTTAGGTGGCTCTATATTCAGAGACCACATTCTCAGGAGGTACATAGGCATGGCCCAAGGCACAAGAGACGCACAACCATACGAGAGATCAATAATGAGACTTTGGAGGGATGACTGAGGACTCTTGGCTAGTGTTGACCGTGTCTATTCATCTGTACTCCCCTGAGATTATTATGAGTTCTCATTCTTCCCTCATTCATCTTGCATTTGCCTTGAGTCAGCCAGTCTTGCTTCTTTGCACCGACTTTGCTTGATGATTGGGCTTCCTGATGATCTTGTCACAACTCTAAAAAAATTAGAAATTGGCAGAATTGATACATGCATGACACACCAGAATCTCCTGATTATTATTTGCATACTTTTGCTGTTCCGAATCAAAATAAAAGATTCCTAAGACCGAGGACCGGCGAAGACCGCAATTGAAGGGTTTCGCTCGAAGCCAGACGCACACAACAGGAAGGGATTTGCTTTAATTAATTTATTTTATTTATTGCAAAACAAACAATAAAAGTCCTATGTGACAGTCTGTTGGCTTTCCGGTCGCCCAAAGTGGCCCAACAGGAAAAAGTGCAACTCGCGCAAAGAGAGAGAGAGAGAGAGAGAGAGAGAGAGAGAGAGAGAGAGAGAGAGAGAGAGAGAGAGAGAGAGAGAGAGAGGCTATAGCAGGATGGGGCCTTCTGCACGGGCCCCAACGGCCGGACTTTTGCACTTTGGTCCCCAGGCCACGCGGCCGTTTATTTTGGGTGGCTTGGGGGGCCACGACCATCCTTCTAGGCCTTTGTTCATTTTTTTTGTCCCATTCGCTATTTATTTTGTATTTCAAAAATTTAGTATTTATTTACTTTTTTGATATTGATTTTTGGTTGGCACTGATTCTTTGTCTGGGCTGCTTCTTGTCTGTTCTAGGTAGAGACATTTCAGACTTTGTTTTTGGCCGAACAGGCACTGGTGCCTGTTCGGACCAGTGGATTATATTTTTGGCGTAGGCCAGGTAATTTTTGTCCATTGTAGGCCAGGCAAGTTTTGGCCATTGTAAGCCATATGCAGTGCCTGGCCCAGTCCTCGTCCATTCTGGACTAGCCCTGCTGCATCAGCAGAGTCGCCTGGATGTCCAGTAGGGACCCAGGCAGGCAGAGTTAGGCCAGGGTTGTAGGACCAGGACTTGGGCCTGCGATCACGACCACCTGTCGGGCTTTAGATTGGACGGTCCTGATCGCAAACTGAGGGCAGCACAGTCAGGCCCAGCAGTATATAACTGGGCCAGTCCTCCAGTTTGAAGACAGAGTGCTGGAGCACCGGTTGGGCCTCATGCTGCTGGACTGCAGCACTATTGTGGGAGAGCTGTGTTCACATAGTAGCAGCGTAGAGGAGCAGGAGAGTCAGCTGGAATGGAGATGCTTGAGGTGTCCATAACCACGAGGGCGAGAGGGACTTACCTGGGTGCCATAACTAAGACTTCACAAGGTCTGGGACCGGCCTTCATCAACGACCTGCATCAGCTCAAGTCGTCACCTTTCACTGGTCAGTATGCGTGGACATCATCATCATCATCGTCATCATCATCATCATCACCAGGGGAGAGAGAGAGAGAGGAGAGTTCTTCTTCCTCTTATTCTTCTTCTTCTTCGTCTTCTTCTTCTTCTTCGTCGTCGTCGTCGTCGTCTTCTTCTTCTTCTTCTTCTTCTTCTTTCGTCAGTCCTCACCACGACCATCATCTTTCTCCTTATCGTTACAAGCGATCATTTCCATGACATGCTGAAATTATGCATGTTTATTCTCCAATAACACTTTGTGTGTGTCTTACACACACAAAAAAAAATAAAAAACAAAAATCTGCATCCGTTGCTGCACAACTCCATTCAAGATCTCCACCACCTACACCTTCTCTTGCTCCTCATCAAACTGATGCAAGGTCTTGCTCAAAATTTCAGTGTGCCGAACTGTGCTTCTCTCTCTTTCACTTTTTGATAGGCCCTGATTCCCTCTGAAAACATATATGCCTTGTGTATTAATGGTGTGTACACATCTAAAACTGTTTACTGACCGGTAAAGAGTCCAAAATTCTCCAAATTCTTCAATTTCATAGTGCTCAGCATTACCATGAACCACAGCATATCAATCATCTGGCAGGTAGCCAATTGCTTGTTGTTGCGACTTGATCTTACACACCTGGACTCTGAAAAGTCCTGCTTTCTCCAAGTTGTTGAGGGTGAATAAATGCTCATAGCCATAAGTTTGCAAAAGCTCCCGCCTGAGAAACCGGTGTGGAAGACAGTAAACAGGAGCATGTACAGATCCAACCAAGCCAAACCAAACCAAGCACCCAAGTCGAATCAAGCAAAACTGAACCAAACACAGCCATTCCCAAGATCAAACATACACATCCACCTGCATGCACCCGTGCCCATCCCATTCATCTTCACCCGACACACACACACACACACACACACACACACACACACACACACACACACACACACAATTCTCATCAGGGATGCCAATAGTGATGTGCTGAATGGATTGCGATTGAAATCATCCTCGCTCCCTGCCCATACATAGAAAGGTCTTGTCTGTGCAGTCTGTTGAGAGGAGTATTTTCTGTGTTCCCCTTTGTTTTGCAAGGAGCAGATGTGTGTCCGTTCAATTGTATGCATGCATAAATCCTTCCTGATAGTGTCCCTCTCAGCAACCGCAGGCATCTGCATGGTTCAGAACTTGCACAAATGCCAACAGTTCACATGTTCCCCTTCTTGAGTCTGGCTGAGATTACAGGGATGTGAAAAATAGGTGTAAGTTGCCTTCGAAAAACAATAGTGAACTTGAACAAGCATCTTGGGTAGGTTGTGCTAGCGATATCCTCTCACTTGTACTTTTTCGGCATTCTCTTGTCCTGTTTCATGAATTCGCAGTAAGCCGAACGTCCAGAGTGCAGAATCAATTGCACAGGCTCTTGTTAGAGCCTTTCATTGCCAATGCATAGCTAGATTGTCATATATATTTTGCCATTCCTTGGCTGAAAAATAGCACAACAACCCATAATACCAAGAGCTAATCCAAAATCACCTACTTGATTATCAATAGAGTTTAGATGGTTGCACTTAGTGCCTAAAGAGAACCCAAAGAGAAACATGAAAAGAGCTGAGGGAATATCAACCTTCGCTTTGCGATTGGTTTTGGAGCTCCCATAGTAGTAGTCTCTTGTGGCCACAATATCTTTTGAAGTATGCGGTGGCAACCTTACGGCTCGAAGAGCAGACGCTTCGCGTCTGAATCCCACGAAGGCACTTTTCTGCATAAGACTTCGGAACTAGATCCTCAACTGAAACTGAATTGGGTGAATACTGGCGCATTAGCATGAAATCAATCATGCGCTCCTTACGGGGTCTTGCGCTCTTGAGGACTTTCTTCTCTATGTAGCACTTGCATTCATTCAATTGCTTTCTTTTCTGCATACAATCCACCGACGTCAAGTCCATACCTTGGACACATTCAAGAAGAAAGGCAAGCAGTGCACACTGGGCTCCTTGCACTCTTGAGGACTTTCCTATGCAATGATACATCAATTGTCATGTACAAAGTGTATCTATTCCCAGAGAAGTTAAACCACCACTACGTCCTTCGGGACATCCATTAAAATTGGAACGATACAGATAAGATTAGCATGGCGCCTGCGCAAGGATGACACGCATAAATCGAGAAATGGTCCCAAAACTAAAAAAAGAAAAAAAAAAACAGAAAAAAAAACACTACCTTTCTCAGTGTTGAGAAAAGTGGGAAAAAAGGATATACCGCAAACTTCGGAGGTCCTGTCGAGGCTCAGAATGAAAAAAAAAAAAAAAAAGATTGGGACACAATCGGCCCGCGGCAAAAAAAAAAAAAAAAAACCCTGCGAAAACTTCGAAAAGAACTATGAATCCAGCGATGTCGGGGAATGCCCTCACGGAGGTAGACGTGAGACTAGTGCTTTGATGAATGTATCTGACCAGTACTTGTGGAAAGTGATTGCTATCATTTTTGTTTTTTATTTTCTTTTTGTTACTGTTTTGGTGCCCTGCCAGTGTGGCAAGGCGGATTCCGTGCAGGGAAACAAACTGCCTCACTCTGAACAGACTCACACTAGTGCTGTAGCAGAATGTATCGGAGCAGGATCAGGGCATAAGGGAATATAATATACATATATTTTTTGTCTGTTCTTCTTTACTCATGCCCTCGCTGAGGGCACAGTCTCAATAGCACCTCACAGAATGTATCTGGCCATTATATGCGCAACGTGATTGATTTTTTATTTATTTATTTTTTTGTCTTTTTCGAGTTCTTTTGGTGCCCTGCCAGTAAAGCAGGGCAGATTCCACACGGGGCAACAAACTGCCTCACTCAACACGTACTCACACTAGTACTGTAGCATCCTGTGTGGGACCACAATCACAGCATAAGGGATGTTTTCTTTTTTTGTTCGCAGTTCTTTTACATCGGGCAGCACACCCTCACTAGGGGCACAGTCTCATTAGCAACTCGGAGAATGCAGCTGATGGCTATCACAACGTTAGGGCAGTTCCCTTCTTTTTTCTTCTTCTGTTTTTTTTTTTTTTGGTTCTTTTTCGGACGTGACTGCTGTGAGTACCAGGAAAGAAAGTAGAATGGGACCCAGGCTCAGCAAAACTTGGTGCACAGTGATCGGAGGTAGTGGTAGTTTAAACCACCACTACCTTTCTCAGTGTTGGGAAAAACGGGAATATACATCACACCCTAGGCTACCAGCCGGGCCGCCCGGGTCCCGGGTGGCCAGCCGGTGCAAGGACCAGTGAAGGTCCAAGCAAAACAATAAAAAATTAAAAAAATCAAACAAATCCGAAAAAAATACTATATTATGCAGAAAAATACATCGAACAACTTTTGCCTCAGGGCCACATCGAAATTTTTCACCGAATTTAAAATTAAAAAAATAAAAATAATATTATTTATTTTTTGAACCCAGATCGTGAAGACAGTTGTCCACAATGCAAGCCCAGATGAATGTCAAGTCAAGATCGTGTCCAGACAGAATGAGACGAGATAATCATACACAGACGAAGGAGAGAGGAGGGAGATTAGACAAAGGAAAGGAAAGAAATACAAGGCCCACTCCTGCTTCGGGCTCCCTCCTCAATCACCATCTCAATAATCAATAGTCTGAACGAGTATCTGAAGTAACCTCAATGTGCCACGTGGCACGTCTAATCAGTCCCTCATCAGCGCTGGAGCAATGTCGACATGAAGACAACAGGTACGTATCCTCGATCTCTCCACAGTCCCGATCTCCTCCCGAATGACGATAATCAGAACAGCAATACAAGTCACGTAGCTTCGCTTCGTCAGAACACGTGGCAGCAGCCACATCAGCGACAGCGCATGGCAGCTGCCAAGAAGACAGGTGCAAGCCAGCCACCATACCGGACCAGCAGCACCTCGCTGAATCACAATGTCAGCGTCGCAGCATCGAGCCAGCGTCGCAACGTCGAGCCAACGTTGAAGTCAACGTGTGAAGTCAGCATCAACACAAGACAGAATGAATGTCAAAGCCAGGGAGGTCAACGCTTTAAGTAGCGTTGACTCAGGGTCTGGACCCCGGATGCTGCAACCTTTAACCGTCCAGATCTTGATGCAAACCAAAGCCCAGATTGGCCAGTAACTGGATTCCCTTCAGCCTGGATGCTTGTCTGGGTGCACAACAAGTGAGTGTATCCAACCAAGGGCCTGGGCGCGGTACCTTTGACTCTACAGTTGACTTTGACCCTTGACTGTCCTGGGTGCAGCGTTTGGTCACGCAGCCAAACGCGACAGACTCGGGCCTGGGCGTGTCCGGGTCACACAGCCCAGCGCAGACCAACTTTGGTCTGTGTTGCCTGGGGCTGAGTTCTGGGCCCCAGACTACTTCTGAACAGGGTTACTGCATTCCTGCCGGCCCATTTTCGAGTTCCACCGCAGAAAATTTTAAGACTTTAACCCTCGTTCATAAGCAGCAACAATATCAGGAGCAGTTTCAAGTAGTTCTCTTTTACTAAACTATCTGTCCTCAGATGGTGCCTGAGACTTAAAACGTAACTTGAACTGCTTATGAGATCGTCCACGTGCTCCCGTAGAGAAGTATCCATGCTCTATGATTCTTCTACTTCATATCTGCCTTCCATAGATGGCGAGAGGGTCTGTTAGGAAATTCTTTCCCTTCTACATAGGGCAATAGTTTGGACGTGTGAAAGACAGGATATGTTTTGGGATGAGGGGGGATATCAATGCGATAAGACGGTCCCTCTGCATCTCCAATTATGTTGAGAAATTCCCAGGGTCCCAAGTAGACAGGCAGCAGTTTTTGAGATACATCTTGTTCTAATGAAAACTCTTTGGATTTAACCCAGACCAGATCACCCTCTTTGAATGGTCGTCTATGCTTATTAGCTTGTTCAATCATTTGATCTTGAGCTTTCTTTAAGTTTTCTTTTACTTTCTTTATGTCTTCTTGAAATAAAACTGCATATTATGGTGTCCCTAGAGGTAGCCTAAGGAATTGGTCCCGTGTTAACACATCAATGGGACGCCTAGGTTTCCATCCCTTGTGCAGTGCATTAGGCGTTCGTCGTGTAGCAGTGTGGACACTGCTATTATATGCACTGGCTATCTTGGGTAAGTTCTCATCCCAATCAATTTGATCAGGTCTTACATACATGCGCAAGAGTTGTTGGCACAATCGGTTCATTTGTTCACTTTGCCTATTCGTTTTAGGGTGTCGCCCTGACAACATGGTCAAACGTGTGCCATATGCCTCCATCAGCTTTTGCCATGGCATACTTGTGAACCTGGCATCTCGATTAGATACAATGGATAAAGGAAAACCATACTCAATTACCCATTTCATCTGAAATTTCTGGATCACAAGTCCAGTCCTTGCTTCAGCAGGGAAGAGAATAAACATGGCATATTTAGAGAAACGGTCCGCAATCACCATTACTTGACTATTACCGTTGCGACTTTTTAACCAGACTCATAAAGTCAATTGAGATGGACTTATGGGTAATGGCTAGAGAAGTCCAAGAGGATTCTCATGCGTCGGCTTGTTTCTCTGACACACCAGACAGGTACGTACATAAGTCAGTACGTCTTAATTTAATCCCTTCCATTCGAAGCGTTCTCTAACCTCTGCGTAAGTTTTCTTGAATCCAAAGTGTCCTTCAAAGTCATGACATTCCCCAATCAGCAGACTCTTAATTCTTTCTTGGT